ACAGAAGCCAGCGAGGGCTCGACTTTGGATGCCTCGGGGTACGTAAGACGTATATAGGCTCCCTGTCTTACGCATCCTGCCGCACACGGGGCATACATCACTCCACGTGTGAACCCTCACCACCACCACCTCGTCGACCTCACCTTTTAGATACCTCGTTCCCGTCATCGTTCTTCGGTGCGCGGCACGAATGTGTTGGTAATTATTGTTACGAGGGATAAGAAGAACGAGCCGGAAGAGAGAAACAGCAGGGATCGGTGCGTGGATCTTCTTTCAGCGTTCCCCTGTAATCAGACAGCCGGACCTGGGCTTCTAGGCAGGAGGGGCGAAACGGAACAGAGAGAAAGAGAAACTGAGAGGCGTATTAGTGTCGTTTCTGATTTAAGGCGGCGCATAGACGAGTTTAATCGTTTCTAATAGATCCTTTAACCCGAAAGGGTTGCCTTCGACTTGTCGTAAACAAGTCCGGTGGCGAACGTGTGTCGATACGCCAAGCATAATTCTTTAACGCTAAGATGCACCGTATGTTTTTATTCAACCCTCGTGTCAATGACCAAAATAATCACGGTAAATCGTCTGCACAGTTTCATGAAAGTATTCGAACAATTACATATTCCTAATTGAAATTTACATAAACCGTACAACGCAGTAAATATTCTGAAACTGTCGTATATATCGCGTATAGGAAATATGTGAGAATAACTTGTAAAAATGTAATTGAAATCAAATAATACATAATACGAGTTGGAGAGACTTTGTTGGATTTACATTTAACATTATTTCATAGCAACATTAGTTAGACCTTTTGCTGTTATTACAGCCCTAAGACTATATGTATACTACCATGCGCCAATAATCTTCTGTTTCAATCTTTCTTTCGATGTAATCTCAATTTTCTTTCCACCTCATCCCATAGGTGTTCAATGGGACGGAGGTCAGGACTTTGTGATGTATGCAGACTATTGTACAGTAACCATTCTCGAACAATTTTCAAAAATGTTTCCAAGTCGAGCAAAAGAATTCCGCCACGAAAGGAAAGATCGATTCTTTAAATCCACGGTGATTTTCGGTCTCATTTTGTAGATAGTCGCAACGACCGGCCAACAATTTGCACGCGATCGCGACTTCTCGTTCCATGGATAATTGAAACGCGGTAACGTTGGTAACAAGTTTTGCGCGCGAAATAAGAAAGTGGCGGCACAAGTAACGCACGGGGTACCGGGTACCTGGTCGCGGGTTAACGTCGAATTATCGTTCCAGCAATTATCGTTACCCGGGTGTAATTAAATTATTTCTCGAGGGCCGCGTGGAATTTAACCCGTTTTGCCGCTTTTAGAATTTCGCCCGATAGCACGATTGCGCGCGCACACACATACAAACCACGGGTTTCAGCTACGTAATTACGGCCGCGATAATTCATCTGGTTGCTCGAGTGTGCGTGCGTGCGTGCGTCCGCGCATGCGTGCGCCGACGTACGAGTTTCGTTAATAACGGTTTGCACCTCTGTCGGGGCTAATTAATGCTTCCCACCCCGGTGCCGTTAATTGCCGTGCACCTTGAAAAAAATGTCCTTATTATTTTAAACACCGGCTTTCAGTCAAATCTGGATTCGTCGATCGCAACAGTGTAGAAACCGTCCCGTTCGCCTTGTTACCGTTCCTCTTGCCCGTCGAACGATAAATTTCCAACGCAGAACGAGAACTTTCGGATGGCTGAGGGGCACGTTTTGCGCTGCTTTGTCCTTTCGACTCCTCTCACAGCCTCCCTCTCGGCCACTTTCCTTTCTACTTCTCTTCTCCGTTCACCGCCTTCGCTCTTTTCGTCCTCCTCGCGGTTCCCCGGTTCTCCGGCCCTCTCTGCTCCTCCTCTACAAATTTACAATGCCCTCGCTTGTAATAAGCGGTTGCGCGCTTTGTTCACGATTATGAGCTCACTTCAGGTACCGAGGGGACTTATCGAGTTAAGGCTCTTCTGCGCCCGGAACACCGAAATCTCCTCTCTTTCAAACGATACTTCCCCGTGGAAAAAACGATTTTCGTTTACCCCTGTCGCTTAAGATTCCCGCGTCCGAGCGATCGCCACCGTGCAATAATCCGAGAACGTCCACGTTGAAAGAGGAAAAGATTTAAGAAAATTTCTACCATTCGAGTTGCGCTAAAGAACAGATAAACACGTGTTTTGAGAAAACGTTAATTACTAGACTGCGGATGTTTATGCATTTATGGGAAATTTTAATTTTCAAAAAACTACAGAATTCAGTTAATATGCAAGAATATAAGGAATACTTAAAATAAGGTACGAGTTATTATATCTAGGGGTTGAGACAACCCTCTACAAAACTCCAATTTCATTAATTTTATTAACAAAAATATGAATTTGCATGAAGATCTCAAGATACACAAGACGAAAGGAACGTAGTTGAACAAATAGCTACAAGATGCTGTTATCGAGCAAACATCTTTGCAAGGATAGCATCGTATCTACAAAAATTCATGTATTTTAATTACGTATCGCGGAGCAGGACAGGCACAATCTACGACACGATCACTATCCCCGCTTCTTCGAGTAAAAAGTACAATACGATTTCGTCGCTTTAAAGCCCCCAGCTTCTTAAGTGCTTCGCGTATGCGAAGCTTCTGTATACCCCGAGGAAAGATTAGGGATTCGAATCAGTGGAATGTACCACGAGGCAGTGGCACGCCATGCTTTGTAAGGGGGACACGTGCACCACATGTTTAAGCTTTAAGTGACAGCCAGAGTCCAAACAGGTCGTGGACAAGTTAGAACTCACACAACTCACCGCGGTCACATTCTTCTTCCACCTTTCAGGATTCAAAATACTTTCCTCGTCCCGCGTGGACGAAACCCCGATTAATTAAAGGGAGGCCAGCCGCCATTGTGAACTATTATTTTCAGACCACCCTTTAGCGAACTCGAAAGAAATTATCTCGTGGAAATTTGACAACTACATCGTTTACCGAAGAACGAGGATATTGCTTGCTTCGTTACGCTTGAAATTTTTTAATTAAACTTTCTAGTAAAATTATCGAAAATAGGCGTTCGACAGTATGTACTTAGAGAATTATGTAGAAATTAACGTTCAACCCTTAAGTGGTCTCTCAAATTATTAAATGGAAAGTAACTTTCCTTTATAGCGTTTAAAAAATGATAAACTAATGGAGGATTACATAAATTTACAAATTTATTTACAGCAGCCCCAATAATCCACTTAAGGGTCAAGTTTCTAGTTGACATTCAATATACCCTGGGTAAAATTTTAATGGGAGATTCCAGGGACCAAAATAAGACGAAAATCAAGAATACCAATTTGTTGATAGAGGCTTCGTTAAAAAGTTATTAACGTTTAAAGTTCCGCCTGTAAAACGGCAATCTGCGCACAGCTGCGTGCGCGTAATAGTGGTGCTCATTCAGCATGAGAAACTCTACTCAGTGACGTATCGACAGCCTCACAGTTTTTTGAGTGTTACTTACAAACGGAACTTTAAATGTTAATAACTTTTTAACGAAACCTCCATGAACAAATTGGTATTCTTGATTTTCGTGTTATTTTTACCCCTAGAATCTCTCATTAAAATTTTTCCCGAGGGTGGCCGTACACCTTGTATAGGACAAAAGAAAGAAATAAATATGTTTGTTTGATACAACTGTTGGAAAAATAAAGGGAAAAAAATGCCACGTCGCGAGTTACGCAAAATGCATTTTTCTACCTTGAACGATTTCGAAATGAATGGAAAGGCATACGGAAGTCTGAGGAGAGGGTGTCATAGTGTCAGCGACGGTGAAAAATTTGCCAATTAAAAAAAATCTCATTTCTCCCGGTAACGAGGGGCGGCGTGCAATTAACGTCAGAGGCGAAAATGATTTATGGGGTGAGGAGAGAAGGGTGTGGGTCGTAGACGAGAGGCTAGCTTATCATAAATTAATGAATTATCAGTCCTCACTGGGGAGAGCATAAGGGAGGAGGTAGCGTGCTGCATCAATATGATATTTAAAATATTCATCGGTACACTTAGGTGTTCCAGAAACTTTCCTACAGTCATATTTATTTCACGGAAAAGTTTTATCCGCGTCTGTAACATCGTTTAGGGTGAAACCGCGATAAAAAGGTACCCGAAGGTGTACCTACGGATCTAACTATAATAGATTTACTTCCCTTAAAACTTTGATTGTCGCGTGATGATTTTTGACGCACGAGGCTGGCTTAAAAATAAATCGAAAATTTCTATTGGTTCGTGAATAAATTTTGCCCAATTTTGTTGGTTAGGAATAGCGATTCGTGATAAGCAAGAGCTTGAATAACTGTGTCTACTGACAAGAATTACGTCGATATTCCGCGATTCACCTCGACACGTTTTTTAACCTTATCACTCTATCTCTTTCATTAACGAACGAGAACGCGTCCCTGTCTCTTTTCCTTCGCGCTAGCATTCTCACTCTCGATCTATCCATTCGTTATCTTTGTTTCACTTTTCAACGAGTCGATCGTTTCTTCTCTCTTCCTTCTATTCAATATCTCTTTCGAGCTCCTCTCGGATGAGACTCGAATCAAGGTCGCGAGCAAATTGAACCGCGCGACCTGAAAAAGTGGAATATGATAGCAATGACACGCACGATCGAACGAGATCGTACATTTGCTCGCGACGTTCTCAACCATTAAACCTTTTGGCGCGTTGCTTTGTCGCTACGTGCAAGACGTCGATAAGTAGCGTTCTCACGCGTATTATTGATTTTATTCTTATTCAAACGTACGTAAGAAACGTTGTCGTTTCGAATCGGGAATCGTAACGCGTGTGAGCTTTCCATACGACGCGTTATAGATCGTACGGGAACTCGATACTTCTCGTACCGTGGTCTCGTCCAAGAAAGCGTAACGTGTACGAACCGTTTAGCTGGAATATTCCTGCATCGTCGACCGTGACGCTATGGGAAAGACGGTTCGGTTGCGACGCACCAGGTGCCGCCACTGTTGCCAATATGGCCACGTGCTAAACGTGTTTACGTGAACTGCGTCATCTTTCGTATTTTTCTTGTTCGTACAGCGATGTGTTGATCGCGAGATTACGGTGCCGAGATTCATGACATGCGTGTACGCTGTCTAACAGTCATTAACGTGCTCCTTGTGGGCATGGCGGCTCCGGATGCGTCTATTCCAAGGTGTACCTGCGATGTTAGGAATGTGGTGACCCGTTCCGCTGTCAATCAGGATGCACCCACGAGTAGAGGCGTAAGAAATTATCGACCGCACGGAAGCCTTGCCAGAATACTGTACGACAAGCAAAAGGCGGACGAGCAACTCGAGGCATACGACAAAACTCAGGTGCGTAAAATGTAACTAGGTTACGTTTCTCGTTCGGTTCTGCACGTCTGGACCTAAACCGCGCTTATCCGTTCTTCGTATCGCCGCCTGAGGTCACGTCAGTGGTTTCAGGATCGTAGATACAGTAGGGTACTTCCACGAACCTCATAATTGTGTATTATTTTTCTTTCTTCGTTCGTGAAACACTGTAACGACAAGAACATAAAAATTTTCCACCGTGTAACGATTTCCTATAAAACGATGCATCCTAATGGCAATAAAAATAAAAGTCCTCGATTATCGTTTCGCGTAATGAACACGTGCCACCGAATTGTGCCCGTACTGGAAACTGGATTACTCTATGAGTCAGATAAGATAATAGAATTTTGAGTGCAGCCAAGCCACACGTTGTTTTTGTATTTCGTCGGCGGCCCGTTCTGCGTCAACTTTGATCGTATTTAATTATAACACCGAGTCGAAAAGTTTCTCTCCGTGAATTAAGTTTTTGAAATCTGGTCAGCACAAACGCCAAGTGCGCCGCACGGGCCAGCAGAGTAATTGGGTTGCTTGTAGAGGAAGCGGTCACGGAGGGGAAGGGGCAATAATAATTAGTACAATTACCGCACAAGGCCAACCACTGACTAAAACCTCTTTCCTCGAACGATGCTACTCAAGAGTCAAGACCGTGCTCGGTAATTACGGGACAATTACGTCCTCGATATTCCTGAAACATCTTCGAAGCCACTTCGAGTACTGTCCACGTTCTTAGTCCTACACGTAAACCGCAAGTTCATCCTATTTATAATTACGCTCTACGGTTGCTTTTTAATACGACTTTTAGAACTCACCGCCAAACTTCAGACGGCCATAATTGTACACGAAGTAATTAGGTTAGGTCTCCGACCTCGTCCGCAGAATTCATGACTTTGTACGAGTACTTTATTAACACGTTCACTGCCAGATGAAAACCGTGTAACATTCCGCGCAAGTAAAATTTTGATTTTAGACCATTGCAAGCTACATAACCTAAGATTTGTTTCGGTACTTATTTCCGTAACCTTGTTAAAATTCACAAATTCTATTCAAATTTATTTCCCTTAACGTCTTAACTTGAGAATGAATTTTTCTAGTATCATAATGGTAAATCCTGTCGCCCATATATGGGTGACGTGGCAGTCAAAGTGTTAACACGTTGGCCTATCTCTGCTCGCCCAACTCGCCACTAATGACCGCCATTTTTTCGCGCGCCAACAGGCAGTCTTTGTCCACATTTCTGACTTTTTCCACGCATATTTGTTTCGCTATTCTTTTGTTACGGAGGTGAACAGTTATTGGCCGTTCAACCCTTTGACCGTAAAAGACGTTATGTGTTTAATTAACTTGAAATTTTTTGATGGTTCAAAGAAAAATCAAGTGCTGCCTTTTTTGTGATATTAGTTGCACTTGTAGCGGCCATTTTATGTCATGGTATGAATGGAAAGGACATAATGGTAACACAATGGCCGCTACACACTTAAAAATGTTACATTTTTTTGCATACAACTTTATAAAACTTATTTGATATTTCAAGTAAAATAGTTTAGGCTATTTTACAAATAGTATTTGAAATATTTTTTCTTTTAATTTTACCTAGTTGTATTGATGAGATATGAATATTGATTATTTTTTGCTATTTAGTATTACACGTATAGTTTGAATTACGTTCGACGAAACGAGAAGACTTTTCGCCCGACCCAACAGATCTTTCTAATACCCTGTTACGTTAACAATGTAACAACCGGACCGAGTTACTCTAAATTTAGCGCACCATCAGTACGCGATTATAACGAAGTGCAAAATCGTGGTATCTCGCGAACCGTTCTCGACGTATAGTTCGCTAGCATGAGATATCTCGTGAGCCGTACGCGATGCATTAACGTCAAAAGCGTCTCGCGTTCCGCGTTTCGAATTCGTGCTTCAAAATTGCTCTCCCGATGCTTCGAACGAACCAAAAAAACCGAGACGGAATTTAATTATTATTTATTAAACGTACGTATTTAACACTTTAACACGTATACGTAGATTTACGGAAACCGTCAATTTGACGGGTGTCTGATTCCATATTTAAAATTGCAGAACACGTAAATATTATTTTTTAACAACTTATGTCAAATTTGATTGATGCACTGGCATGAATACATATTCTAATTAAAAGAAAAATCGTAAATCTAATGTTAATGGCCGTACGTATCACGCGAAGACCGTTGTTCGTCACCACTGATATTGTAGACCAAAGTGAGATACACGAAGATGCTAGGAATATTATTATAAGGAATTATAAATGTAACAAACGTAATAAGTTGATTGTATGATGAAATGGTGGCTGATACAGTAGATCACGTACGCGTGACAGTGGCCAACGTCTGCTAGCTCACGAAGTCACGTATACGTGACAGCGGCCGTCAAAGTGTTAAGATCACATTCTCATGAAAGGTGCAAACTTCTATTCTAATCGAAAAATAGGCGTCTCTATTAGATTGGTACATATGAAATGTCGGTTTTTGTCTCCCTGTTTTCGTTATGCTTTTGTTTTTGGCATAACCTCGTTTATAATCGTACCCTCCATTGCCAGAGTCACATTTCAACAAAGATTTTCTCGAAAGTCCCTTTTGTTATTTGTTTCGAATTTTATACCGATATGAATTCTGTCGATATTCGTGTAATTTTTTTATATGAGTATAAACTTGGTAATAATCGAAAAGTGGAGTGATGGTTTGAAAATTTTCGGTCTGGTGATTTCTCCCTACAAAAATGAACCGCGTGGAAGATCCAAAACGTCTGCGAAAAATGATGCTTCGAAAGCATTGGTGGAAACGAATCCAACTGTACTTACAAGGGAACTTGCTAACAGAATGAAAATTTTGACCATACAACAATATCGCGACACCTTTCTGAAATTAACAAGGTGAATAAAATGGATGAGTGATGAAGTAAGCTGAATCGGTTGAACGTATGCTCATCATTGCTAACCCGATTTCATCGAGTGCAATTTTTCGATCGGATGTGATGAAAAATGGGTTCTTTACGACAATAGGAAAAGGTGTGCTCGGTGGCTCGATAGCCATCGCTTCATCCACGGAAAATTTTAATAACAGTTTGGTGGAATGTGACTGGAGTAATTCGCTACTCGTTCCTTCGAACTGGGGAGACAATTACAGTCGAAAAGTACTGCCATTGCATTGATGAAATGCATGAAAAATTGAAAATTATACGCCCATCGCTCGTTAATTGCGAAATTAAATGAATCGAAATATGAAATTTTGCAACACCCAGCTTATTCACCGAATCTTTCGCCAACCTACTTTCACTTTTTAAACATTTAGAGCAGTTTTTACGGGCTAAACGGTATGAAAATGAAGACAGCCTGAAAAATTCCGTATCAGAGTTTACTGTTTCTAAAGATCAGAATTTCTTTAAGACAGTCATCCATGCATTAAAATCTCGTCGAAAAGTGTATCGAAGCAAATGGAGCATAATTTAATTAAATAGACAGCTTTCGAAGAAAGATGTGCAGTTTTATAATATTCACTTAAAAATCCCGGCATTTGATACGCACCAACCAAATAAAAATGGCCCAGGAATAGTGGAAAATACAATACGACGCGTGGAAAAGGACAACATCCCCGTCCGCGGGCAAGGCCTACTGGCGGAAGTAAGAAGCTTTTATCGGTGTTTGCAAGAACGTTTCGCCCGCGACAGAGAGCAAATCGATTCGGAAGGCTGGCTGAGCCGCGTACTCGAGCAGGTGCCCGCAGGAAAAGAGAAGAATCCCATTCGGTCGCGTGAAACGAGAAATTTGAAATTCGTGAGGAGGGACGCCCTCGCGAGATTTCCACCTACCCCCTCAGCGACCGAAATCGACGCTAGACGTCACTCGTTCGCCCCCTCCCACCCACCCCCGTTCCTTGCACGCCCGATGGCACGCTATGTTTCTGGGGGCTGCCAGCGTCTAATATCCCTGAGCAGTCTGAAAACTTTACTCTCAGACAGAGTGGCGTGGATGCGTCGACCCGGTGGTGTTTCAAGGTTTTTAAAAGGCTGGTGTACCGTCGATATCCCGACGACGGAGAGAGACAACCGAGGGGGGTGAAAAAAGAAAGCGGAAAGAGGGGAGTCGCGGATGGCGCTGCTTTAAAATATTAAGTGACTGATGGATGAGGCTCCTGAGGGGTAGAACGAGAGACGGCTGGCTACGCGACAAAGATATCTACGCCACCGAGGGACGTTTGCATCTTTTTCTTACGTCCCCTGGCTTTTACGCCGCCGCGTGTGTTCCCGTTTCTTAGGAATCTTAACTCGCCCGCCCCGTGGTCGTTGGCATTGTCGTCGATCCTCGCGCGTCCAGAGCCAGGCGTCGAGTCAGCCGGTGGGTAAGCACGGAGATGGCGAAACGCGTCCAACGACGCGTATCTCGCGCAGGCCCGTAATAATAATAGCAATTCTCGTGATAGTAATGTTTATTACCTCCAACCGGGTGGAGGGAGGGGAGTTATAGGGAACGACGTCCTGATTGCAGTTGACTTCAACGATTAATGATGATTTGCTTTCGCCGTATCAAATAGAATTTTTCTTTTACCGTTAACGAAGGGAACGAACGAAATAAGAAACCGAGATCGCGATTTTTATCTAACACTCTGCCGCTTTTTGCGACCCTTTCATTGCGCACGCGTCATTGAAATCGCGTGGAATTCGAGGATTTGCGATATATCGTTCAGTAACGGAGTACAAGGTCGAAAAAGTTTAGGAAAACACGGAGTTACGTAATACAAAATAAATAAGTGGATATGTTGTCGGTTCGCGATTTATAGACTTTGAAACCTGCCTCGAGATAAATCTGGCGTACGATAAATATACGCATCGAGTGCCCGGTGGCTAGCAACAGCACGTGACACGCATGGTTGAGACTAAATGACAATGTAAATAATATCGTGCCACGATACTCCCATTATGCCACGCGGTGAATATAAAAAATAAAAAAAGCA